GAGAGTGAGCAACAGAGTGCAAAAATAAAAAATGTGTGATCCATCAGAGACGGAAAGGTGTGTCAGAAATTCTGTGTAGAAATGGTATTAATGCATTGGTTTCACAGGTATTTTTTGAAAGGAAAAGCCAAGGCTTTGAAATTTGAAAATAAAAACAAGCATACAATCCTAACAAATATAGGATGCTTGTAGCTATTCTTAAGCCTCTTCCTCAAAGGAAGTGTTGAAGCAGGAAACTGGGTGAAACACAGATTGACAGAACTTTGCAGAGGAGAGGGGGAAGGAGAGAGGGATGGGAGGGCTGAGATGGGGATGGAGCAAAACAAAGGGATAAGAGAGACGGTGGCGAGAGAGGACAACAGCTAGGGCTGCAAGCATGCGATGCAGAGAGAGGGGGGAAAGGAAGAGAAAAGGCAGAGGCTGACAGGGTTCCTGTGAGCAGTGAAACGTGCGGACAAACTGGGCTGGCCTGCTCGTCAGCGCTCACCCGGACCAGGTTGTAGCCCGGCTCGCCGGTGCGGTGCAGGGTGGTCAGCGCGGCCTGCAGGGTCCTCCAGGTGACGGTCTTGCCGCTGCCCGTCTTGCCCACGATCATGGAGGAGTGCCGCGAGTTCTTAGTCTCGTACAGCTGGATGACCTTGGTCAGGGTGAAGGGCGTGACCTGCAGGCCGCTCTGCCGCAGCTCTCCCTCGATCGTCTCCTTCAGCTGGGAGTGACAGAGCACGAAGCAAGCTTGTTCAGGGACACAGCAGTCTGGGACAGTCACACACACTGGCACTGAGAGAGCAGGACACTGACACAGAGAGGACACAGCAGTCTGGGACAGTCACACACACTGGCACTGAGAGAGCAGTAATGCTGCAGGTCACCCTGGATGAGGGATAATAAGCATGACGATGTGTGTGTGCTCTCTGACCTTGCCGTAGTCAATCGTGGGCGTGTCCACTCCAGGGAACAGGTCCTGAATGATGGCGTTGAACAAAGGCAGGTCCACAGATGTCAGCTTGGCGATGTTCATGTCCTTCATCGACATCAATAGGATCTGGGACAGAGCCAGAGGTTTAACATTGTCATTTGCCACTGACCACGTTCTGTCAAAGCTTTCTGTTTCTTTTTCCAAGGCCACCCAGTCTTTGCTAATTGTGTAAGTAAGTTTTGATTTACTTCAATTCCGTCCAAAAGGTCCAAAGGTCGAGAGGTCGGAGTTCCTATTTTTAAAACTATACCAATATTAATTTTTCTCATCTTGATAACAATAACATCCTTGATGTCAATAGCCTGACCTTGAGGAAAAGTGCTTTGAGGCGGTGCACTGCACGAGCATGTTCAGTTTGAAATGAAAACTAACAGATTGATTGACCCGTCAATTGCTAGACAGTGGGTTGGATCAGTAAATGGATTCATCAATGGTTTCCAGCAAACGATGCTGACCTCTTCGTCAGCGACATCGGGACGCACGCGGCGCTTCTTCCCAGCGTACCGCAGCAGCGAGGTCAGAGCGCGCAGGCCGAAGTCATAGTGATCCTGCTTGGACAGCTGCTGCATGGCCAGGGAGTAGAGGGTGAAGACCTTCTTCGCCAGCACCTGAACACCAGGGGGCAACAGAGAGAGAGAGTTGTATATGTTTACAGTTTATGTAAATATTTTATGATATGTTTTTGTTGTAAATGTCTGTAATATGTCTGTAGACTTTGTTTATTTTTATTTTTTGATTTGTTTCATGTTAATTTTATTTTTATTTGCTTTGGCAACACTGATTGTACCCATCAGTCATGCTAATAAAGCAAGTTGAATTGAAATTGAATTTAATTGAGAGAGTTGTAAATGTCTGTAGATTTTATTTTATTTTTATTTTTTGTTTCATGCAAATTTTATTTTTAATTTGCTTTGGCAGCACTGATTGTACCCATCGGTCATGCCAATAAAGCACCTTGAATTGAATTGAATTGAATTGAGAGAGAGAGAGGCGAGAGGAGATTGGCTTGTACTTTCACTTTGTCAGGTTAATCAAAACAACATCGAGTCTAACATGCTTATTTATATCTTTATCTCTTCCTCCATGCCTTTACAAACTGAAAAATAAAGAAATGAGGGGGGCAAAAAAATAGGAGGAGGGAGTTTTTCCACATTGTTTGGAAGAGCCATGCCGATCATGTGCTTACACAACTGCTGGGGCAACACTGCTATACTGCTGGTACTCGCTCTAGCACAGCCCCAGAGAGACGGAGAAACAGCAGGAGGCAGAGAGTGCAGAAAGAGGGGATAAAGCAAGGGGGAGAGACTGAGAAGATGGGAAAGAGAAACCAGAGATGCTGAGGGATACACAAAGGTGGAGCATAGCAGAGAGAGAGAACATTATTCATTGTACAAGGGTAATCACAGGCTGAGAAAGCTATTAACATTCAGAATGAACAGCGTGTGAATAGAGAAATCTGTAAACCTAATGCAGTGAGACTCCAAGAACTACCACTGTCACAGCTACTTATACTCCATGCAGATTGTACCTACATAGCAAAGGCACTGGACACAGTTAGTCTATACAGGTCAGGAGGGACTCCCACAGGGTGGACTAAACCTTTAATTGATGATCTTCCACCCTGCCTGGCTTTCACAGGAAAAACCTGCAGTAAAACCCCTAGAGTTCCTGCATACTACTTTCACACAGCCGCAGACATATCCAGTCCGACATCACGTCTCATCAGGGAGGGCGGCGGGTCACCTTGCAGTTGTTGAAGCCCTCTCCGAACAGGATGATCTCCGCGATCAGCGTGGAGTCAGGCACCACCATGGAGATGGGCCGGAACATGGACTTGAGGTTGTCAGGTAGCTCCGTGCGGCCAGCGTAGCCTGAGCAGACACAGGGGGAAAGGAGAGATGGGATCACGGGGATTTCAGGAGAAATCCTCATACAACTTGATTATGGCATGTTACAGTAAAATATACGGTGAGATATCCAAAATTATAGCACAGTACAAGCTTGGAAAAACTAAGAAAAAAAGAAAAATTGGGGCTTCCGTGTGGCTCATCTAGTAAAGGTGCTCGCCTTCACACACTATGAGCTCCATGCACCCAGATGCTGTGGGTTCGAGCCTGGGTCACATCACTAGTCAGTGACTGGAACTTGCCAAGAGGGAAAGGGTGGGATTATTTGGGCAGGGCTCCCTCGGCCCTCAGCTACCCCAGTAGGCACTCAGTGGCTGAGGGATGTGCTCTGGGCCTCTGGGATGGAGCTGTCACACTTCTCCCCTGTCTGCAGCTGGTGTGAGTCGAGACGTGACACACACACCCCACTGCCTGCTCCTCAGTGCTGACAGTGCCTCTTCTTCACGAGGGGACAGTGAATTTGCCACCAGCCCGTACCAGGATTCATGGTGATGAAGATGCCGCAGGACCACACCAGGCTGATGTCGCGGCCCTGAAAGACGAAGTGCGTGGCACCAGCAGACAGCGCGGACAGGATGGACAGGATCTGCTGCGCCACCACAGACAGCACCTCTATGTTGATGCGGTTGAACTCGTCAAAGCAGCCCCAGGCTCCAGTCTGCAGGGACAACCACAGGATCCATCTTTCACATCATGAAGTGCAGTGAATAATCTTTGTTGACTGTTTATTTCTTCATTCTTTAGGAGTTTATTGAACACGTCCCAGCGTTAACTAATTAATGACACAGGGGGCCTGTACAGATAGAGCTCGTTCTTCAAAAAGTGTCATACACAGACAGGTTAAAGGATCTGCATCTCTTCAGATCCATACATAGGAGACTTGATTCAAGCATTTAAAGGACACAGAGGCAGCCTAATCAATTTCATCAGGATCAACAGTGAGCGACTGACAGGGAAACACAAGTGGAAAATTTAGGACTGAGAACAGGAGACACGTCTCTACACAAAGGGCAGCGGTTGGTGGGAACAAAGTGAGAGTGATTCTCTGCCTGTGGTCACCTGTGCCAGGCCGGAGTACATGCGGCCCATGGATTTGAAGTCCAGCCCCTCGGAGCAGTTGACCACGATGACGTACATGCCCAGAGCCTTGCCCAGGTCCTTCACCGTCTCGGTCTTGCCGGTGCCAGCCGGGCCCTTCGGCGAGCCGCCGCGGTGCAGGTGCAGGGCTGTGGTGAGGGTCATGTAGCACCTGCACGGGCAGAGACACAACAACTCTCCTGCTCGCACTGGCATGCTAAATCCTGCCAGCTTAAACATTAGAAAAGGTTATGTTGTGAAAAGGTTATAGTGCGCGTTGCAGCCTCACAGCACTGAGGCCCTAGGGTGCTATCAGTATGGAGTTTCTGTGTTCTCTCCATGTTCGCGTGGTTTTCCTCCCCGCCGTACAAAAATCTACAGGTAGGCTAACTGGCTTCTGGGAAATTTGGCCCTGGTGTGAGTGTGTGTGTCTGTAAGTGCCCGGCAATTGATTTCTCATCCCATCCAATGTGTAACCCGCCTTACGCCCATTGCTTGCCAGGATAGGCTTTGGGTCCACCAGGAGCCTGAATGGGAGGAAGTGTTTAGAAAATGGATGGACAGATGCATGTGCAGGAGTAGTGGAAATGGCCCAGTGTGTGGTATATCGAAAGGTTCCCGAGGAATGCAAATCAGGAACAGGCCAGATCTTTACCTTAGAGTGCTGTGCTATGGGAGAGACAGCTGATACAGCTGTCCTCCCAAGAGGCTGCGATAGTCAGTGCACTTAGTCCTGTTCCATCTCTGAACATATCATCAGACCTGGCTAACGTATCAATTCAGACAGCCTTGAGGATTTACAAGCTGGTGGATTAGGAACTAACCAAAAGGAATCCCATTCCAAGTCACAAGGAACTACCGAGCAGCTGTCCACATCTCATCAAAATCTGCATTGGTGAACTGCTGTTGGTTGAGTGGGACCATGTAATCAGGGACATCTACAGGTGAACATACAGCACAATTGAACTGTGGTTGTGGCAGAATGTGGCAGATATAATGGCAGCGGGAAGTGGAACAATCCACAATTAAAGGCAATCTCTAATTTTTGGTAGTTATTGCTGTATCTTCTACTTCACCAAACATATGTGAGAGATAGAGCCAGGGAAAATAAAAAGAATACCAGTATAAGAAAGAGTGCGGAGACAAAGAACTTGTTCTCTGCTCTTAGAAAAGAGACAAATTCATCACTTCCTAGTACTCATTATAATGATTCTCTAATTGTTGTCTTCTGTTTTCTGTATTAAAGTACTGTAAGTTGTCTTTACTTTTTCTTACCTCCAGAGAATGTGAGGCTGTTGATCAAACTTGAAAGAGCTTGATGAGGGGAAGGAGAAATGGAGAGAGAGGAGTATGGGAAAGAGAGGGGAGAAGGGAGTGAGAACGCACAGGCTGAGGAGAGGTAGAGAGAGAACGGAGAGAGAGACTTGGACAGACAGAAGTAAGGCAGTCAGAGATGCAGAGGAGAATGAAACAGAAATGTAAAGAGGAAGAAGGAGAGCTGAAGAGTGAAAGACAGATTGAAATACCTGTCAGTGAGGGGGGTAATGACCAGGCGGCCAGAGTTCCCCAGATATTCATATCCATAGGGGAAGTGTGTGTTGGTCTGTCTGATGATGCAGTCATCTTCATCCTGTGGAGAACAGGAAACTGCTGAGCACAGTAGGGCTTGACAGGGGGAGGGAAGCTGCTGTTTCCTTTCAGGGGTTTCAATGCCAGATCTCTTCCAGAACATCCCAGCCACCCCTTTGTGCAGCCACCTGCTTAACTATTATAAGTGATTCCTGTCTGCTCAGCATGTATTGAAGATCTGTGGCTATCCATCTACTCTCTGTCCAGGCGGCTGTACTGTACCTTGTCCCAGTAGAGTCGCAGCTGACAGAGCCAGTCAAAAGAGGTGACATCACAACAGCCAGACTTGGCCAGCCGGTCGATGACATCACGGGCGTGGACCTCCACCGTCACCAGGGCGACAATCTTTAAACGCATTATCTTGGACAGGTTTCCCCGAATGGCCTCTGAGTACTTGTGCAGCAGGGACACCTAAGGACAGGCATGTGAAAACACAAGTTCTTTTATCACAGGAATGTCCTGCAGGGCTTAGTCCTTCAGATTCATTAGGCAGCCTTCAATTGGTCAGGGAGCAGAGATCTGGAAAGCAATCTGTTCGAAGCCAGTCAAGTCACTCAGAGCTTAGTGAAAGCAAGACGACTCATGGCTCTGTGGAACTGGAGCTACAGACATCTACTGTTGAGTTCACTTCCATGTTCATACAGACACAACATTCACAAAGGATTCTGATACATTTTTAAATTATTGCAACACTTACAGCACACTAACTACAAAAACTGTGTAGGATTGTCAATGCTGAAGTGGATGGGCTGTTGACATTTCACTCTAGAGATCTACGTATAATTCATAGCTCTTGACTCTTAACTCTTAACGCACTGTATTTCAGGATATGAGCAATCTGTGTGATGTTGCAGTATTTAAACTGAACAAAAGCATGATTATTGCATCGTGCTGAAGCACACCTGTTTCTTCTTCATGACCTTGAGGGCATTTTTGTCAGCCCTCTCCTTGCTGGTGAGTAGGGACTTGGTGACATCTGTGGTCCACTGGATCTGGCTGGCTGTGATCAGCATCTAAGATTAAAGACCACACACAGGTAGGATCAGATCACAGGTAAGACCTAAGAACAGCTCTTTTATGATTTGTTTTGGTTACAAAAGCTAGGAGCCTCCTCATGGGGAGATATTAGGAGGATCACAGAACAAAAATGGGATAGCAATTAGAAAGGCAAACAAAATGCTGGGATATACAGTTAAAAGCATACAATTTAAATCAAGGATGCTATGCTAAAAATTGTATAATGCACTAGCAATGCCTTATTGTGTAAAATTGTGGTCACCATGTTATTGAAAGATAATGCTGTTGAAGACTCCTGGGCTCAAGGGAATGTCCTGTGCTGAAGAAACTGACAAGAGTTAAGGGGGAACTGATACAAATACTCAGAGCCTGTGACAAAGTCAACCCAACAGACTTCTTCAGAATGAACAGCAGAAACTATTGAGGGAGTGGATTAGAAACCAAGATCATGAGAACATGAGGTACCTCTTTAGTCTATGAATTGTGGGAGTATGGAAAAAGCTACCCAGCTCTGTTTCTGAAGCTGACGAGGTCTGTGCAAAACCAGGAGCAGATCAGTGGACAGAGCAGTCAATTCTGGTAAATAATCTAGTTCTTTTTTAGATACTTCCTTAATTTTACATTGACAGGAAGACTAGAGTAATGATCTAGTCGCATGTGCTCAGACCTCAGAAGCTCAGCAAGGTGTGGCCAAGGAGTTTTCCTGGAATGCCTCCATAGAGAATCAAGTTTTGTTAGTGGAAGTTGTTCTTTCCACTGGACAAGAATTTGCAAAGAAGAAACGCCTCAGCATGGCAACAGGGGGACATTGTGCTGTAGAAGGTGTTAAACTGTCCTTCTATTAAACTGTTGTCAGGATGTTAAACTGACACCCTGAGCACCTGGTCAATAACAAGCCCCCGACTCTGTCCATAAGAGTAGGGGTTTCAATCCCAGGGGAGAGGTACTAACGTACCTGCCCAGGCCAGTCCTTCACCCACTTGTCCCTCTTCCCTGTCATCTTCTTCAGAGCGAGGCGGCAGTTCTTCAGGCTGTCCTTGAGGGACCAGCGCATTGTCCGCTCCACGTCACACAGCCAGGCCTGTGCAGAACAGTGTGTGATCAGACAAGCAGCCATCTCTTGTCACAGCTGGGACTGCTCATGGGCAACAACGTCTCCGCAGCAGAATTTGCTATTAAACATGAGCTTAAACCAGAATGGGACAGCCCAAATAAATCCTGGGAGAGGAGACATTGTACTCTGTCTTACCAGGACAGATGTGAACCACAGTTCACACATTTAGCTGGAACATGTACAGCATAGATGTGAGCCAGACAGTGTCTTCATGAAATCTTACCATTTAGACTTGCATGGTAAATTTAGTTTTACAGTCTGAGTTGCACTTTACCATTTATTTGATATGCTTTGATATGCTTTTACCCTCATCTCACAGTGCTTTACTACACCTTACTCTGCTTTTATTATATAGGGGCTGCTGCACTACACCTTACTCTGCTTTTATTACAGTGGGACTGCTGCACTACACCTTACTCTGCTTTTATTACAATGGGACTGCTGCACTACACCTTACTCTGCTTTTATTACAATGGGACTGATGTACTACAACTTACTCTGCTTTTATTACAGTGGGACTGCTGTACTACAACTTACTCTGCATTTATTACAGTGGGACTCCTGTACTACACCTTACTCTGCTTTTATTACAATAGGACTGCTGCACTACAACTTACTTTGCTTTTATTACAATGGGACTGCTGCACTACACCTTACTCTGTGTTTATTACAATGGGACTGTTGTACTACAACTTACTCTGCTTTTATTACAATGGGACTGCTGTACTACACCTTACTCTGCTTTTATTACATTCGAAAAGGTTTACTACACCTTACTCTGCTTTTATTACAAAAGGACTGCTTTACTTAATTTCCTGTGCCCAGTACATCAGTAACACTGACCTCCACAGGTCCCTCCAGCAGGACAGGGTGTGTGAACTCCACATACTCCCCATCCGCAGAGAACATCCCACAGGCTTCAGACTTGAGACTGATCCCCATCTGGAACACAAGAGGGCAGTGTTTCAGAGAGAGTTTGACTGTGTCACACACATTGCAGAGTTCTTTGCTCAGGTTATCTTTCTACCTGAGCTTGAGTTCACTTAATCAACTAGTGACTTAATTGGTCTTAAACACTAGTGTTTTCAAGTCTTTAGCCATTAAGGGTAGGGTCTAATGTTTCACATAAAAACTGCAGGGCTGTGGCTCTCCAGGCACAGGGGTGTAGAGCACTGATGCACTGTGTATGTGTGTCCTTCTCTGTTCCAGGTCAGTTCTGCAGATTTGATAGCTCTTGACTTCCCACGTGAGAGAAAGTGCATGCATCAGTTTACCTTTCTCTTATAAAAGTTCACCCTGGCTAGTTTCCTTAAGTATATTAAAGTGCGCTAGTTAAAATTCCTGATAAGAATCACAAAACAAACATAGGAATTGTGGTGATGGGAAGCAATGACGTGGCTAGTGTTAAGCATTCTTTGTTAGATTCTGCATCAGAAGCTTTCCAAACCTTTCCATTATACAGGGAGGTTACACATTTTCAAAACCTCAGTTTCTTTATATGAAGATGCAGTTTGCTGTTGTCACAGGATGTCTGTACTTCATCTGTGATTTTACCACAGTTTTGCTGTGGACTAATATGGGAATAGCCTGCAGGAAACATGCCTGAGAGGACAGGACTCCCCCATGGATGAGGCGATGGTCACAGGGTTGCCCCTGCTATTTATACAACTGTGTGGATGAAACAACAGTGTCCTTGCCGCTGCTGCACTGCCCCCTATACCCCGACACACTGATACTTGTGCAGTCTGCGTGAGTGTCTCTGTGCAGTTCAGCACCTTGTTGATCTTGAGGCTCTTGATGTTGTCGAAGCACTTCTTGAGGTGAGGCTGAACGGCCTCGGGGCGCCGCGACTGGCCCAGGATCTCCAGCAGGTCATCGTTGGACAGGAAGTAGAAACGCGGGAAGATCTGCCTCTTGGTCTCCAGGTACGTGTCCAGGGTCTTCTGGATCTCCTCCAGCTTTGAGTTCATCTCGGACAGCTTCTCCAGGAGGCCTGGGGGGGAGAGAGGGAGTGGGAAAGCGGAGGAGGGTCAGGAAAATAAAATTGAGAAGGAATAAAAAATGAAGGAAGGATTATGCATTAGATAAATAGAGCATATACACACTGTTAGGCCTTTTTTTCTTCCCTTATGTCTCCCCCCTCCTGCCCAATCTGCCCCTGCTCTCTGACTACTCTCCCATCTCTTCCTACTGCTCCTCTTCCTCTGCTCCCTAATTGCTCTCCCATCACTTCCTGCTGCTCCTCTGTCCCTCTGCTCTCCATCAATTCCTGCAGCTCCTCTTTCCCCCTGCTCTCCAATTACTCTCCCATCACTTCCCACTGCTCCTCTCTCCCTCTGCTCGCCCTCTCCATTACCTCCTACAGCTCCTCTCTCCCCCTGCTCTCTGATTACTCTCCCATTACTTTCTGCTGCTTCTCCCTTCTTCTGCTCTCTGATTGCTCTCCAATCCCTTTCCTGTTCTCCTCTTTCTCCTCCTCCTCCTCTCCGATTGTTTCCCCAGCTCATCCTGCTGCTCCTCTCTCCTCCTCCTGCCCAGTCTTCCCCTTGTCGTACTCTGATTGCTCCCCTCCCTGTCACAGTCTCCTCACCAGGATGGTGTGTTCCTCTCAGGGCATTGTTGTCTTTGTTCAGCCGGTCCATGATCTCCTTCCAGCTGGTGTTGATGTCGTCAAACTCTGCTGACTCTCGTGGCAGCTGCTTCCGAATGTCCTCTCCCAGGAATATGTTCTGCCAGACGAGGGACAGAGAGGAATGGGAGGAAGAAGAGTGCTTGAGTCAAACACAGATCTGCTCTCTAGAGTTCTGTTCATCCAGGTTTTCAGCCCACTATTTCTCTCTGTTTCTCCATAGTGAAACAGAAACGCCAGACACAAAAAAGAGTGGACTTGACACAAAGACGGCACACACTGGGGTTGTTCAACTGGGCTCAGGCACTCTGAGATAATGTGTTTTAGTGTTTCATGAATGGAAACCTCTGCACTGAAGTATGAGATTATCTATTGTCTTGTAACAATGTTCTGAATATGTTATTATGTCAACAACAACAACAACAATAATAAAATTATTATTATTATTCTTCAGGGCTCAAAACACTATTTAGTTGGGGGTCCAAGCATTTTAGTCATTGAGTGCACTATGTCTCAATATACATATACATCTAAATAGCAGAGGGGTGGTCACTTCAGCTATGGGTATTCCTGATTGGTACTGAAACTCAAAAAAATATGAAAAAATCTTGACCCGTTCATCTGAATAAGTCTTATAAAGTATTTGACTAATATCAAAGCCCAGAGGACCTCTGGCCGTGACCCCTAACCTCCAAGTACATCCACTGCCTCTGCACTGTGAGGATCATCTCGATGACCTCCAGGATGAGCGACAGGCCACGCTCCCAGCGGTCCACCTCCTTCTCGAAAGCCTTGACAAAGCGGGAGGCCTTCATGGTGGACAGGGTCACCTGGTTATCCTCCAGGGCCTGGAAGACCTCCTCCGTACCCCTGCGCACAGAATAACAGTAACCACAGGAGTGAAAAATGAACTCCTTCAGGATCGGCAGTGAAACACGAGACAGGGGTCACTAATGGAATTCATCTGAGAGAGAACAGGGGACAGATCTTTACACAGAGGGTGGTCGGTGACCAGCTGTGCTGTTGGAGCTGATTTCCTAGGATTTTCGAGAAAAAGCTGGATGTGTACCTCAGGTCAAATGGCTCCAAGAAAACTAAATGTGCAAAAGGCCTCTTCTCATCTGTGCGTTCTCATGTGCTTATGTGTTATTTAAATAAAATCTCAAAACAAACATGGAAACTGGGCAAGTGCAGCTTCAGCTGAGAGCTGCCTAAGAGCCCCAGTCTGCCAGCAGAAGAAAAGCTGCAGAGCTGGTTCTCAGGTTTTTCCATGGATGCTACAGCTACAAAGAGTAATGCAACAATACAGGAGCTCTTCATTTTCTCTCTTTAGCTTGATATTTTTCAGCACTAGCTTGCTCAGAGAGGCAGGGGTATGTGAGGGAAGGGGGTGTCACTGAAAAGTGTATGTGACCCAAGCTGCATTTCTCCAAAGCCAGTGTGTGCTCAAAGAATCAAATGGATCCAATCACGACAAAACACCACCTTCAGGAAACCTTCACTCTAAAAGCACCACTTCCATTGCTTTTTTGTGTAAAAAGTCAGAAATCTTAGGAGCTAATTGCTTAATAATGCTAGAAAAATCACAGAAGAATGAGCACAGGACTGCAAGACTGCAGGCAAACTCTCAAAGTTGATTTTAGAATCTTAGAGAAAAGCTTAGAGAGAGAACATGATTTAAAAAGCTTGCTCCAACATGCTTTTTTACCTCTGATAAATTTCTTAGAGAACAAATTCTATAAAAGCAAGAGCTCATACATGAGAGTTAACCTCAGTGTCTCTGCGTTCAGGGGAGCAGAAATCTGTTCCTGTTCTAATACATCTGTCTTCCTTGAGATATCATATTTTATAGAGGCTTTTTCAGAAAGTTAACAGAGAAGGAATCATTACAGCTGGGAGTAAAAGAAAAGCAGAGTCCTCATCAGAGAACTATAACAACTGAGAAATCAGGCAAACGTGAAAACTGGAATTGGGAAAAGGACTCGTGAGGCCTAAACGACTAACAGATGCTTTTCAGGACTGAAAAGGTCTGCCTTAATTGGATAACAGTCAAAGAGAGACGGGTCTTTTGCAGAAGGAGCTAACTGGCCCAGTGATGATCGTGTGCAGTTCAGACATGTAGATTCTTATTGACCAATCAATAAACAAATTAGCCCTCCCAGCAGAGCGCCTGCAGCTCAGTGGAGCTAGAGCACACCCTTCCCAAACGAGGCCCGATTGCGCTGACTGCAGCAATTCGTGTACAATTCCTTTTATTTTCCGCTCCAAGCTTCTGTGCCTCTCGACTACAAGAGCATCATTTGTTTTCAAAATCCTGAAAGGCATTGACAAAGAGTCAGCTGCGAGGACATTAACAGGAATTTGGGTTCAGCAGTGAAACAGGGGCCTGAGCTGATAGGTGGAAACCTATACACTGAAGGGTGGCAGGTGTCTGGAACAAGCTGCCCATCTCCATTAACATCCCCAAAGCACTCTCTACAGGGTATTTAATGGTATTTGAAGTCCTTGGATCAATGAGCTACCAACAACATAGGAAGCAAGACTGGATGAGTGCAGCATATCTTGTGTGTGACCCGTCTTCCCTTCCTCTCCCTGCTCCCCTGTGGAAGGGCCCATACTGTACTGTGCACATTTTGGGTTGATGCTGAAAAAGGATCTCAAAGAGTCTCTCCTCTTGATTAAATACAGCCAGCTGCTCACAACTCCTAAAATAGAATCCTTGACTTAAATATTTATTATGTCTTCTTAGCAAAACAAGCATTCCCAGGTTTAGTGCTCTGGTTTCCTGCATTCTATATCATTACAATTACAACCCGAATTTACTCTCAGGTCAGGCTCTTGCTGTTAGCCACCACCACCACGCCAACACACACGCATGGGCATAATCCCAAAAGAATAACTCCTCGGGGTTGAAACGCATGGGGGAGAAGGAAAATTTGGATAATCAGGACCATTTGAAAACTCTTATGTGCCTCCCAGATTTGGCCTCTTCCATTATTCAAGGATGACGACTTCAAAATAAAGGAAAACTGGGATCCCCTTTCTTTGTTTACTGTAGGCACTTACTGCATATTTACTAAATCAGTTTTGCTAGCTAGATGATAATTGAATTGGGCCGTAGGTCCAGTTTTAATCCTTAGCAGATGGTTCCAGGAATTCCCCAGCATAGCCAGAGCTAACCTGCAAAATAGGGTGCAATACCACTTTTACCGCTGGGTGGCGGTGTTGCACCGTGTTTCCCGACATGTTCCTCTGCCTCCTTGTTCTTTTTGTTCTCAGACCACACCAATTCACATCAATTTCTCAGAAAGCTTTCCAAAGCCTGCTCTCATTATATCTTTCTTCCCTGGAAGAGCCTATGAGCTTTGCAGTAAGCCTCAGGTCAACACGCGTGTAAATAAAAGCAAACGTTCAAAACCTCCTTAAGAGAGAAAGGAAGAGAGGGCTTTCTTTAACATGAGCAAAACAGCACTCCTGAAAGGTGGAGCAGTATTTACAAGAGAGAGGTTAACAAGAGTGGTGACGGCAGTGTCCATCTGTCTGATCACTTCAGTCTTGCACACAGTTACACCTAGGCTCATTGTGGAAGGCGTTACTGGTTATTGATGGATAATGTTCTTTGAAAATTAGGAGGTTTTATTTTTTACTGAGATGACTGTAAAGTTGCAAGTTATGCTTCATCTTTCATGAGCTTGAAACTTTTAAAAACAATTTTATAGAAGTCTGTTAGTACGGAGTAAAATGTGTGTTTTTTTTAAAAGGAGTTTCAAACTGTAAACCATCCTATGCCCAACCGCTTGTCTCCGAAAATAAACTCACAAAAATCACAGAATCTGATAGTTGTTCCTCGTTTTCAAACACACTTTGGACTGAGGAGTTGCAGGAAAAAAAAACGACCAATTGCATTTTCCACACAAAGAACACGCTGTTTGCGACAGAGGCCGGGAGAGATCGAAGGAGACCTGGAGCCGATCCTCAGTTTAACTTGAGTGACGAGAGGTTTTTACCAAAACGCAGCCTCCTCCAGAAGAGGATTTAAACTTCTATATATAGCCGTAGTGATTGGCACGCAAGGCCCTTTTAAGATTTGTTGTGAGCGTGCTATTTCTGTAGCGCACACACATTCCAGGTTGCCGGAGGCTGACGCGAGGCCCGGGGCTGACAGCTCTTCAGAAGGACAGGGGCTCTTTCTGTCACACTCGGAAAAGTGCTCTATTCAAAGAGCCACCTTTAAAAAAATAAACCCTGGGATTAACTTCAGGCTTGACAGAAAAAGCTCTTCTGGGCTAAGGAGAGGTGTAAACTATTCATTTGTTTGTTACTTATTTTGCATGTCTTAGTAGCTATAGTATGAATGTCTCCCCTTCCTGTCCCGTTCTCTCTTTGTCCTTGCAGTGCCCATTCCTCCTTTACTCTCCCTCTCTCGCTCTCTCCCTCTCTCATCTCACTCTTTCTGACTTGTCATATTCAGCAGTAAAGAAAGATGTAATTGGATTATCTAACATTACGTCTCAGAATGTGCTTTTAAATAAGGACACGGAGAGTCTGCAGAGTACCAGTGTCCTGATTATCGGCAGAGGCATCCCTCAATAAAACAGCCCGACAGCAGAATAATGTCTGAATTTTTCTTTCTGTCTGAAATAAATGGATAGCTCACCATGTGTTCTTAACAAATTCTGACTAACAACACCACGGGTGCTATACACAAAATGCTTGAGAGGAGCACTGGAGGAGAACTGATGCTGTTTTTCACAACGCGTTTCCTATTTATGAGTCTCCAGAGGGCTCTACTAGGGTGCTTCAGAGCTGTTTTCTGATCTCTTCAACTTAAGTTCAACTTGATTTATAGCTCCACATTTGAATAAATACAGACTACATTGTGGTTTCACTATCTAGGCAATGAGAATCTACACTATCCAGAATATGTTGTCTGTTTCTACAGCACATTTTTTAACACAGCTCCACTTTGAAATACAGAAAGAGGAACATAAATTAGACTCCTTTTACATGTCTGATCCAGTTCAGGGTGTACTGGCTGCAGGGCTCTTTTGTACTGATGAAGGAGGGAATGGCTACATTTATTTCAATTGTCACTTCACACATACTTCTGTCTGTGCACATTTACTCAAAGAAATTCAGCCCCTGGTACAGGGCACAGTAAAAACCTGAAGTGGATTAGACATCTTTGCAACTGGAGTCTGTCTGACCTGACTAAAAGTCTGTAGTGGATTAGACTCCTTGCCATGGGAAGCTAAGTAAAAGTAAAAACCTGGAGTGGATCAGATTGCTGTGCAATGGGAGTCTGGCTGATAAGACTGTAAAAGCCCAGAGTGGATCAGTCTGCTATGCCATGGGAATCTCCACACAGTCTCCACACAGGTTCCTACCTCAGCCTGTGATGGCCTTTGTCTTTGTAGGGAGCAATGTCCAGGAAAGTCTCCTCCCAGGTCTTTGCTATGCCTTCCAGGGCCTGTAAGCAGCAGAGAAGCAGAGGAAGAACTTTGGGAAATGACAGAAAATACAGTCAGACAGGGAATGACTGGACAGAACGGTTTAAAAAACACTTTCCTGCAGGAAAAAAATGAAAAATGTGAGCAAGCTAGTCTTCAAGCAAGCAATGTATTTAGACTTTTTTAATTTTGCACAGTGATTGGTAAATGGACTGCGTTAAGATAAAAGACTTGAGTTCTTTAGAAAATCAATTTCTTAGCTATTCGAACAAATCTTGTTGTGGTAACCTAGGTGAACAGACACCACTGCACTGAGACAAAAATATGCATAATTCATACAGGAGAGAGTAACTCCACAGAATGTGTGCTGGCAGTCGGAATTTCCCTGGGATTTGCTGGCCCTAAGAGAGGAGTGTCATAGCTGGAAAGAATTAAGCAGTGTATCGATTTTCACTCACACTGCATTTTAATGCTCAGAACAGAAGAAAGCTAATGGCAAGAACAGGCCTCAAGGCCCGTCAGCACTCGCCAGCCCCTCTACACTAAGTGCTTCCTTCTCTCGTGCGGCTAAGCTGGGCTCCCTCCTGTGCCAGCCTCCAGCTGTACCTGCTCAATGGACAGCTCCTTGCTGGCAGCCGCCGAGATCTCGCTGATCTTGTCTGCGTGCTGGTCCAGGCCCAGTTGCACAATTTTCTCCAGGGTGAAGTCGGCACTGGTCTGGTCGAACGGACGCTGCACCTCATACTTGATCTGGTTCCAGTGCCTATCAGACGAATCAGTCATCGGTTTCATTCGTGTTCATTCCTCCCCTTTGATCATGACACCCTTTCTCAGGGTTTCTAAAGAGCAATCCTCTAAGTGCTCATCTATGACAAATTATTTCTATAATTTTTCCTCCTGTATAATTCTGTATGACTGATATTTTTTAACATAATTTTATCTGCCGAGCCACCACTGGACCGATAGTGCAATTCTGGCTGCTACAGTCCTGGTATTGATGTTACATCATAATAATTCCTTTATGCTGTTCTGAACACTCCACTTCACAGGTAATGGGGATCCCCTCCACCACCACCAATATGCTGCCCCACCTGGATGATGTGACAGCAGCCACAGTGCTCACCACACACCAGCTAGGGGAGGAGAACAGACTGATGAAGCCAGTTCAGAGAGGGGGATTATTAGGAGGCCATAACTGGTAAAGGCCAGGGGGAAATTTGGCCAGGCCATTTTCTTTTTGAGAAACACCTAGGGATTTTTAATGACCACAGCAAGTAAGGACCTCAGTTTAATGTCTCATCCAAAGGATGGCACCTTTTTACAGTATAGTGTCCCCATCATTATACTGGGGCATTAGGCCCCACACAGACCGCAGGGTGAGCCACTCCCCTACTGGCCCCACAAACACCTCTTCCAGAAGCAGCCTTAGCTTTCCCAGGAGGCCTCCCATCCAGGTACTGACCAGGCTCACACCTGCTGAGCTTCAGTGGGCTGCCAGCTGGGAGTTGCAGAGTGATATGGCAGCTGGCAGTTTTCCAGCTGGAATGGCAGTCGTGAGCACATGGCAACTCTCGACTGCCATTCCAGCTGGGAAACAAACCATCTCTAAATGCATAAAGTCATCAATCTGACCCACCTGGATAGAACCAACTCTGTCTATAGGAACCAACACTGTCACCTCTATCGAGCTTGAAGGTGCATCTCTGGTGATGTGAGTAATTTGGAGAGCAAGTGTGCCCAGACAGAAGAAGCAGATACAGCTGCCCATGTCCTGGCTCACTAACACTCAAATGCCATAGTTAACATCTCTAAGCTGCAATGGCTGAGGCAACCCTAAAGGCTAGGGGAACCGGGGTGTTGGTTGTTTTAACTGTTCAGGGAGACTGGCTGCATTGTAACTGGGAGTGTTTTGCTCATTACTCAAGAATGTGCTTCCCAAAAACAGAAAAAACAACTGACCTTGAAGAGCCCATCTTAGGAGAGCAGCTGCTTTCGTTGTACATTATGTAGTATGCAGGATATTGCATGCACTGGTATTTTTTTACATAACAGGTCTGCAAGTATTCATAAGGATCCAGACTCTAACTCTGGCACACATTGTGACAAATGATTCCTTCTGGGACATCAGCCAATCTCTTTATTTATGTTAACATAACACATTGTTAGAACAGTACAATCTCCAATAAAAGAAATCCAATTAGTTTCGAAATTCTCATTAAATAGCACAAATTCATGTCATAAAAATATAGGCAGAAGCACAAAAGTCCATGTTTCATATCTGCCCTCCTCTGTCACATCGATCACTTTGTGCAAACACTCAGTAAACTCTCTGGCTCAATCCAAAGCGCCAGTTCTGACTCAAAGAGTGTTTTGTTCAATTGCTGCCCCTAAACCCCCTCCCACCTAGTGATTTCAATATGGAAAAACAACATTCTGAAGGCCTGGTCAGATGAGTGAAAGGGGAGCCCACAGCAGATTTCTGCATGCCTCCATCATCCTGATCTTACTACTAACAGCCATGAGGCAGCTAGGCGAGATCAGGCCAGCCTGTTGAGCCTACAGCTGTGTAACCTCTGTGTAAACACTCCAAAACAGCATGGGTGGTCAAATACTGGAGGAATATTAACAGTTACTGAATGGGGTGTAAGCTGGAACGGATTGGAGGAGCAGGTATCTGACTGCTTCTACAAAAGAGAGGCAGCCAGGGAGAGAGAGAAGCTGCATTCACAAAACTGTGATTGTGAGTCCTGCTGACAGAGCCCCCTGGAACTGACGCGAGATCGAGAGGGACAGCAGCCAGAGGGCCGGAGAAACAACAGGCACAGCCCAAAAGAGGCTGGATAAGCCAAGCAGGAGACAGCAAGAACACGACAAGGAAAAGGCTCAAAAAGTCATGATCATCGCAATGTGAATGAGAAGAGCTCAGCTGTTATTTTTTCCCAGATTTAGTTTTGTCTTCTGTGGGTTTTACTCTGAATGAAGTATGGCTATTTCTTTTTTGTTTTCTGTTTCTAAACATTGCCTGTCTCTTTCTATTTACAGAAAGTTTCAACCTTCCTTGTCTGAGTGTTAGCTGGAGGGATGTTGGCAGGCTGACCAGCCACAGCCAGGATTAAATCTAAACTTCTGAGGTCCTGCAAGTTACACATTTACTAGCTTGTCACAGGCCTCTGCTTTCTTCCCAGTCAAGCACAGTGCTTGCAGTTGGAGACCTGCGGAAAAGACTTGGCTTTGATCCCGTCTTTCACCTTTTTATCAGATTATCAACTTTTCCATTTTTGCCTGGGATTCAGTTTACGGCGAGCATTTTCGGAGCCCCAGGGTAGCTCTGCCCTACCTCTCCCTCATGGCCTGGTTCCTCAGGTCGGAGATGAGTGGCATGGTCCTCTTGAACTGGTCGATCTTGCTCTTCGAAGAGTCCACGATCTCCCACTGCTTATTCTGGAGGCACATGCAATTAGGGAAAAGCAGGTCAGAACATCTGCTCAGTGGTGTGACCCATTTCACTTGGTTTTCAGAACATAAGAAACTCACAAAAGAGAGTAGACCTTTCTACCTATCCAGCCTGTTTGGGTTCAGAGTTTAATTGATTGGAGGAACTTTTCCAGTCGTTAATTGAAAAAAGCTGGGGTATGGCTGGGTTACTTGTTCCAGACTCCCACAACCCTTTGTGCAAAGGAAGGCCTTATTTTGAGTATGTGTGAGGAGTTCCTGTGGGGTTTCTCCGGTACAGTACTCCATTTAGAGAGCAGCCTGTGACCAAAATGTGATATCCCCCAATTGCAGCCAATGTGACAAGGATTTCCCTGGTGGTGGCACACCATCTGGTAGGCTTAGGAGGGCAACAGCGCCCACCTGTGCCTTTGAGCATGCAGTGGTGTCAGTGAGAGTACCATCACTCCTCTAATTGTGGGGTGCTATGAAGCTTGCCTGAAGCTTTGCATTGTCATCAGTTTGAGATGAGTCACATCTTCAATTGGCCTTAGCTGACCTGTATAACACCGCGGAACTGGCAGCATTCCACATGACAAAAGGCTCTGCATCTCTACAAAAGGGTCTTACTCTCTACAACCGCCCATCCCAAATTCAACACACAAAAAATCCAAAAGAATTGATAACTCCGAAGTTTTTAAAAAAAATGGGAGAGGCTGGATTGTCCTCAGTCCCCCTGTGCTGGTTTAAAAGGTGAACCAATGGTGATCCACAACTGTTAAATCCTAAGCGGGGTCTTTGTGCAAAGGACACTTGAGATGTCAAAAGCACGCAGAGAGCAGTTAGAGGACTTGTGAAGTCTTCCTGCTTCATCAGTACAAGACTGCAGCAGTTGGAATGGATCAAGGTGCTGTGCACTAGGAGCCTGCTGCCCTGAGCCCGTGAGGATCTAACATGACAGCGACGCTCAGCCAGCTGCGCTGACCCTGGGGTCAGTGACATAGAGCTATGGACTGGGCCCGAGCTCCGGGGTGACAGAACCAGGAAACCACTCTGCACTGACGCCTGCGCGGAACTTGCCTTGAGCTCGCGGCTCAGCTTGTGCAGCCTCTTGTACAGGGCCTGGGCCGTGCTCTCCATGACCTCTGTCTGCAGCGTCTCAAACTGCCCCACCTTCCACTCACTCCAGTGGGACTCCCACTCCTTGGTGATCTGCCAGACCTGCTGCAGGAAGTCCAGGTCCTGAGTGGGACAGATGGAGAGAAAAATGGGTGTTTTAGACAACGCATGCCATCAGTAACTGCCAGAAATGTATTAATTGCCACTGTCCTGTTCTGCACAGAAAAATTTAGAGCAGGCTGGCAATTCAAGACTTAACTGGGACATTAGCAGAAGTTTTCTACTTGGGCTTAGCTGTTTTAACTGGAAACAGATTAGGTCTTTAAATAATGCAGTACATACATAATGCACCGTCACATCTCATACACTCCCAGGAACACAACACTTAATGTTGTTTCTTAGGTAATGCTAAATAAATTCCCCACTTGCTTTGCTCATACACAAATGTCTCTCCTTCTTCTGTTTAGTCTAGTCTGGTGCTTCACAATTCATATTCTAAGGAGGGGTGTTATCTCGCCAATGAACTGTACCATCAACATGAGGGTATTGCATTAATAAAGATGAACAGACAGTTTGATCATAAATTCTTGGTGAATACCTCATAGCCTTTTGGGATTTCTCTGTGCCACAAAGGAAAGGAAGAAAAAAAGAAAGCAATGCCCATCCACATGCTTTTTAGAAAAGAATTGCAACTGGTCTGTCTCCTTCTTCAGGCAGTGTAAGTGGGGAAGACAGAAGGGCACAGGTCTGACCTTGTCCAGGGCCAGGATGTCTTTCGAGGAAGGCTGCTCGATCTTGAAGATGCCCAGGCCATGGCGGATGGTGGCCTCTTCCTCCTTCAAGGAGTCCAGCTGAGCACGGAGGCTAATGATCTGCTCCAGGGCAGCATCTGAGCTCACGGAACTGCTGAAGGGTCCTGTGATTCACACAGCGCAGAAAAGACACAACTCACACACAAGCATAAAGTAGGTACAGCGGACTCCCCCAGAAACTCTGCTCATCGCCCCCAATACCTGGGCTGCCTAATGTCCTGAAGAAAGACAAAAATCAAAGTCCTGTGCAGTAAAGTCTCAAAATAATTAAGAACCCCAATCATTCAGGTTTGGGTACAATAAGGTTTTAATTTTACAATTGTCTGCAGTCAATTTAAACTATTTATCAACACCTCAACTGCAGATACTTCTGTTTCACTTAAGCTGAATAAAACAACCAGGTACAGAATAGTGCTGTGTCCACTAGCACTGCTGCCTCACAGCTCTAGTGTCCTGGGCTCAGCACTGGCCTTGGGGACATGTGCGTGCAGAGTTTGCATGTCCTGCTGGGATACAGATGGGGTTTCTGCTGATGCTCTGGATCCCAACTCCTACAGGTCAGCTGTCAGTCTCCAGGTGTATATCACTCCATGAGAAAGGCAGCGGAGGAAGACACTCCTTCCCCCTTACCCTCCACCCAGCACTCGGAAGGGAGCATGGATTCCGTGGAAGGACAAATAGAGATATTTTCTTTTTCTACGGCTGGTTACACTTTAATGCACAAATGGTGGGCACAAGGCTAGATTACCACCTGGTTTTTATGCCTGAGTTGTGTAATGAATATCTGTTAATACCATTTATTTTCTGGCTGGGCTCAGAAGCAGGGACACCCAGTGAATTCCTAGCAAAGGGGAGAGGGGATTGGGCTGGACAGAGAACGGGCTTTAGGGATGATTTATACTGAAGATGATTAACTAGCATGATAGATCTGGCCCAGCTCTTCAGAAGCCTGGCACTGGCTCAGCATGAGATGCAGGACTGCCAGCTCAACAAACAGCTCCCGACTCCCAGACGGGCTTTGATTAAGGAGGTGTTTGTGCTTCTAGATGAGACTTTCCTGGACAGACTCTGTTCACAAACCCTGCTGAGTTAACAGTGGGTGGCCTGCTTTTGGAATGGGGGCAGGGATTAAAAGGGGAAGGAAATAAGAAGGGTAGGAGAATTTCAATTAAGTTATTTTATTTTCGCACAGTTCGTAAGCCAAGAATATCCTTTGATTTTCACATCAAAAACAAAAATCTTTGTCTCTGTTGTGACACATTCAGAATGCGTGATTACGCAGACTTACAGTCAAGGTGAGGGCTAGTAAACTCAAAAAGTTATTTTTTGTGTTTCAGAATATCAGAATTACTGCTTGATATTTTCAAAGATACAACTAAAACTCCATCTGATAATCTAAAAACAAGATATATATAAGAAGAGAAATATGGACATAGTGTATCTTGAAATGAGATTGTAATTTTTCCTCCTTGCCTCATTCGTACTTTGCGGACTTTGAGAAACCGTCTGCTGCGCAGGGTGAGTGGAACAACCTGGCGGACTTGGGCTGAAAACCCAAGAGAGAGTACGAGAAGGGAGAAGAAGAGAGAGGGAAGAGGCAGACCGGGAACAGAGAAGGCAATAGACTGGCAATGAGACTGAGAGACGGGGGAGTGTCGAGAGAGGAAGAAGGGAGGGATAAAGGAAAAGAGGGAGGCAGGAGTTGAGCAGGAAGGTACAGTAGGTGTACCAGTGCCTGAGAAGTCCTCCAGTGTGGAGTGCACTTTCTTCTTGAACTCCTCCGCGGAGAAGAGGAGGCTGCTCTTGAACTTCTCCTTGTGCTTCTTCAGCATGCTGTCACTGTCGATCAGGCACTGCTGGAAGGACAGCCACTCTCCGTTCAGTGCCTCAAGCATAGCCTGAACCTGCAGACAACAGACAGCAGAGACCAGGGATCAAAGTGGGAAAATGAGATGGAGAAAGTGAAAGGGAGAGAGAATGAATTAAGGTCAGCTCTGTTATACAAGCTGAACTGCTTGGTGATAACTAGATGTAAACACCAAATACGTTTCTACCTGAGCGGTCATAAAACCTCTGACAGTTACAGTTGCAACATGCATTTTTATTCTGTGACAGAGGGATCTTGAGTCCATGCCATTGTAAGAAAGTCACAGGTCAGAGCCAACATATCTTGGGTGGGTAGTGGGTAGGTTTGACATTGTGTGTGTGACTGTGTGTGTGTGTGCACTGCTCAGGTAAGTGCTGTGTGTGGTATTTGTTTCTGGGATAAGTGTGTTATGTGCTAGGTTTTGGGGCTGGTCACCTAAGGCACGCAGGCTCCAGGCTGAACTTACTGTGCTATCGGTGGCGACCTCATATTTCTCCAGGATGGCAAACTGCTCGTGAATTGGGGGAATCTGGGCCTCCATCTTGGACAGGTCAGCCTGCAGGGACTCCAGCAGCTTCAGGCTGGTGCCCAGCTCCACCAGGGTCTGCGGGGGCTTGCTAACTCTGGGCAACACGAGACACAAACACTGTTCCCCCATGCATACACTTTCTCCTCCCTGCACCCTGCATTCCTCAAAGTATAAAAATCCCAAATCGAGGAACAGACACTTTAGACAAGGAAAACCACAAAACCTCTGTTTGGTTTCTATAGCTAATTATGAAATGAATTAACCTTTATTGCCCTTCAGAGAATTTGTCTTGCACATCAAGAGCTCATACCATATAACACATAACAAAAATACAAAGCGGCAATAGTATAATACTGACATTTAACAACATTTGGGGTGGGAAGATGTGGTGAGTGTGTGAAAGAGTTAGCTACAGGAAGCACTATGGTGGTTGGAGGCAAACGGAGGGCAATTAGTTGGGGCAGGTAGCCTGGGTGTTAACCGGAGTAGGCTACTGGAATGGGTAGCTAGGGTTATCAGCAGGACAACTGGGTTATAAAGCTGGATGGATTGCTTGAATTTTGATTGAGCTAACTGGTTAAGTCTTGTAGCTGAGGTATGTAGTGGGGATGAGTGTTTGTTGTAGGTGATTGGGGTGGTTACCTGTGGTCTGTAGTCTTAATTAAGCTGATCAGGGCAAGTCGTGGAGTGGGTTGTTGGGGTCACTAGTTAGACTAGGCATTTGGGTTGGTTGACCTGGGTGGGTGATTAGGGCTTTAGGCCATCTTGTTAGAGTGGTTATCTGGGACAGCCCGTTGAAGATGGTGGGTAGTTATGCTAACTCACTTGTCTGCGTTGTCCTGCAGAAAGGAATGCAGCTCGCGCAGCCGGGCGCTGGCCATCTCGTTCAGCAGTGTGGTGAACTTGCCCTGCCACTCGTTGCACTGCTGTACCAGGGAGAACTTCAGGGAGGAGCAGTCCAGCAGCACAAACTGCACACTCAGCACCGTCTCCTCCTTCTGCACATTGTTGGCCACCTCTGTGTACCTGTGCCACAGCAAGAAAAACAACCCGGATCACAGCGCAGTGATCACAGCCTCTGGGACACTGTTCTTCTTGACATTTGGAAAAAAGGATATCTCAAGAAGAGAACCCACCCACTGTGGAGTCCCAAATAAATTATGCCTTAGCTTCCTGGAAGCATGCTGGGAGAATGAAGACATGTAGATACCCTGCAGGCTCCACAGTGCCTCACTGGAGAGTCATCTTTGATTGGAGGAGTGGAGTGTCTCTTGCTGACATCACTGCCTGGAAGGACGTTGACTCGAAAGGGAACCCTTGCTGAGCGAGGGTCTGACTGGTTAACTAAAGCCCATCCTACCCTGTCAGTGCCACCTCCCGTGTGGGCTACAGCATTCAAGTCCTGCTCAGAGTGTTGGCCCATAATGGGGGAACCCCACTGGAACCCCAAACCCCTCTCTAAAAGAACTTTTATAACCATGCTCATGCTCAGCTGGAGTGTTGGCCATGCCTATGTGGGAATATTACCCTGTTTTTAATTCTGTACACCTCTCCGAGATGCCTTTGGCAGAAAGGGCCCCTACAAAAATTGCATTACACTGCATTATATTACTTTTAAATGAACCTAAATTTCCCAAATCCAATCTGCTGATTGCATATCCCTCCCCTCCCCTTTCCCATCTGTCTCTGATACAATAAAGGACTCAACAGCAATTCAAAAAAATGCATACGCATATGCACTCTAATGCGTCCTAATGTATTGCAGAGAGGTAAGGAGATCACGGCTCTGTGCATTACAAACTTAAAACAGCTCTAAAACAAAAAAAACAAGCCTTAATTGGATGTACAGCATACGGTCAATGGAGAAATTGGGATAAGATTATGTAGCACATTCAATCAAGATTTTACTTTGTCATATTGTGAGCTGACGACCCAGTTATGGTCCAGATTTTTGATCAGCTAATTGTCCTCCTTACTTTGCACTGCATTGAAAAACACTTTGGCAGGCCCTGGAACTATACTCTGACTTTGGAAATTAGTCATAGCATACTGGCAGTCTACAAAGACGAGATGCATGGATCCTACATGAGCAGATGCAAATGCTTGCAAGAGCTGTACAACAGTCCCCTGATAAATAATACACTTAGTAAATAATACACGATGCTACCCAAAGGTACTGACATACAGTGAAGACAGGGCAAAACTGGCATGGCAAATGTTTGATGGCCAATCTGTAATGCAGTACAGGTGCAACCTTTGCCTGGCAATTGTAGTGCAATAAACTATCCCAAGAGAGGGGTTTTCAGTCTTGATTCAGGAGTATCCTGTGTCCTTGTAAAGTATGTTAGTTTACTACTGGGATCTCAATGACTTGATCAAACCAAGCACAGCCACTGGCTATACAGACTCTACAACATTACATTATGAGTGCTTGCTACAGTATGTAACCGAAAGTAGTAATGCTTTACTTGAATGGGGCTACTTAACATTCATAACTCCCCCATAAACACTACACAACATAATGCAACAACATGCAGAATAATCCTTTAGAGCTATTTGTGAAAATGACATTACAGGCATGTGATTTATTCATTCCAGTTTGTAACGAGACAGTTTCAGCTGGAAGCTAAGAGCAGAACTCCAGACAGAGAGAAGTGAGATGAAAATGATGAAGCATTAAAGACTGGAGCTGCACATTTGCTGCACATGCGCTGCACATGCAGCTCAGTTACTAACAGTGGCCCTGAGATGTTTATGTAAATTGTATTTTGCTGTATGGTTGTTATGCATTTTCTTATCTCATGCAGTGTTTATGAAGGAGCTGTGACAGTTTTGTACTTCCCTTTTTAAGCAAAGAGTATTATGACAGAGGCAGAGAGAGCAGTGAAACTAAAGTAAGTACAGGAGGGTATTGGAGAGTGAAGGAGGGAAACCACAGTGCAAAGTGCAGAACTAACCCGAAAACCGCCAAATATACTGTAAGAAATCATGAGCCCTGGTCCTGGAGAATTCTGTGTGATTTTGTGTCTTGTTTCCAGTTGTGAGTTTAATTACTTATTCAGATCAAGACATTCAGATCAAGAAATAATGAACCGTGTTGTTATGCAAAGATTTCTTGGCCTTGGAAACAAGAAAGTATAAGCTGCCCGGTGTACTAAGGGCAGGGAGCAAGCACATGGCACACGGCCTCACCTGGCGATGTCGGCGTCGAAGGAGGACACGGGTGGGTTGAGCCGCTGGTACCGCCGGATGAAGGAGTCCTTGTTGATCTCCCAGATCTCACGGTAGGTGTCCCAGGTCTTCAGGTAGGTCTGGAGGTGGCCGGCGTTGGCAGACATGCCGGACGCAATCTGAGCCTGGATTTTCCTGATCTCCTCGTCACGCTCTGGGGGACAGATGGGGCTCAGTGGGATCAAAGGAGACTCTTCTCCAGGATTTCAACCCAAAAAGAACACCATCTAACATACCTAATTTAACAAAAATATTTAAATTAATTTCCCCTGGTTATAATAATATTGCCTAAGTACAGTATATGAATAATTACTAATAAGTATACCCTGCAATTTTCATCAAATTCAACAGACCTGACCACAATCCATTTGCAGTATCACTGGATCACACCTCAGACCTGACTGGAAACCATTTGCAGTGCAAAGGACACCACCTCTCCTTTTCACTCCAGACATTTGGAACTGATTACAAAGCTCAGACAGGACAGTATCTCTTATTAACACATTGCTGTCTAAAGATGTTCACGCTGACAGGGTCTGCAAGCCTCAGCTCCCTCTCCCAAGCTCTGCCACTGGGCTGTCCTGCTCACTGCCCAGGAGCAGCAGGTGAGCAATGAGATTTCACACTTGCACACTTCTGTTCTAAAAATAATCACATTGTTGAAAACATGACTGTGCTATATACTGAAGGGCCTTAAAACACAACCTATGAGTATTTGCACCATGAGCATTTGTTGCATTTTTGGTGCCTCTCTGTATATTGGGGTTTTGATTTTTTCCTTTGACACTTGCACGTATGGCATGCATTCCAGGCATTGCACTCATTCACTGCGCACAACTGTAATTTCTCTGACAAGCCTTTTCCATTCGCTTCTTGTAAACATTCTGACAACGCCATCAGTCAGTGGGTTTTATCGTTTACTCGATCAGCATCTGGGAGTCTGGACACGTTTTTGTCTGGGGCACTGAACAGGACTTGGCATGACCTAAGTGAAGCAGTAACGTCCTGCATAATGGAAAGACAAAAACAGGCTCTAATCGTGGTTCCAAATTCTATTTGACTAGTATTTCTGAAAAACAACCTATTTAATCACTATGTGCATATTTTAAGATAAGGTGATTGGGTTGATGCTTTTTTTGTTAAGGCAAGTTTACATACATTTGAATGATCCTCTATATCAAAGAAGTTATTCCTGCTTTGTCAGGGACAGATTTGCATGCTCCCATTTATTAACTGAACATCCTGTGGGTCCTAGAACAGGTTTTGCCTCCGTAGACAGCACTCAACTGTGTGAAAGGGTGCTGGTCAGGTGTGTTGCCGAAAGGGGCAACTGCCTCCGGTGCCAGCAGTAACCTCACACCTGCACCTTCACCGTTCACCAATTCACCATACAGAACAACAACTGGGAATCGAATAGCACATATTTTGCAGAGACATCTCTTCTAATCCTAGTGAGAGCTCATCCATACATGTAAATGGTAATTAAGATGATTTAGTGAATTACTGTAGCTGCCAAAGCTCATCTAATGAAAAAGGCAAAATGGAGCACTGTGAGAAGCAGAGAGTTAATAGAAAACTGAAACCACAGACATGATTCCTTCGCCTTTCTTGGAAGCCAGATTGGATAAACAAGAAGTCAAGAACATGTTGCAGCTGCAGACCACTTTTCCTCTGTGTGTAGGATCTCCAGTGCTCCTTAATACATACTGATAAAGATATACTGTGCAAAGATTATATAGAAATGCAATGTGCTTTTTATCCTAGCTCTGTAGCGTGTGGATATTGCTCTTGCTCTGTAGCGTGTGGATA